TCTTCACCTTGCCCTCCTCCCAGACGTTCTGCTGTAAAAAATCTCACCTGCAGTTTGGTCTGGCTACTTTCTCACTAGATGACCGAACCATTTCATTCTTTGTCAATATAATGCAGACGTTGTAGTATTCCAACTTTCTCTCTATTGCTGGTGTTCGTAACCCTGTCTTTTCCTGTGTTGCTAGTGACAGTAAGGAGACAGCGCATTTCACAGTTATTTTCTGTTCTAGTGCCATATTCATTACATATTACTGCATTACTACACCTACAAATTTAAGACCACTAGCGGTGTTCGACAAGATGATATTCTCTCACCTTACCTCTTTATTCTCTGATAGTTGATGTCTTCAAGACCTGTAAGGTGAAGACAACAAAAGTACTCTGTAGGGTACTAGAAGATAAGACCAAATCTGAATATCAGAGCTGGCATTTGCAGACTACGTAGCCCTTATAGCTGAAACAGAGGCACATCTTTAATCCAAACTGCTGGTCTGGAAGGAAAAGATTGAGAAGAGAGGAATGACCATCAGTATCTTCAAAACTAAAACCAATGTGATCTCAAGAGAGGAGAAGAAACTAGATCATGTTTGGGCAGCATGCATTGGAGCAGGTCAACCAGTTCAAATACCTTTGAGCTGTAATAGACCAAAATGGAGGCATCAAGACAGAGTTGGCTACTTGAAAAGCAGCAGCTCGGAGAATTTTCCAGTCCATAAATTGAGGGCTTCCTAGCAAAGAGAAATCAGCAAGAGGACGAAAATGGTTGTTTACCGCTCTACCTTTATACCAGTTCTGATCTACGGGTGTGAATCGTGGGCAATGACGACAGCCTACAGAAGCCAGCTTTAGACCTCAGAAATGAGATATCTGAGAAAGGTGGTCTAAGTGACAAGAAGGGTCAAAGTTCTCAGCCAGACAGTACGCCAAGATCTTGAAACCCAGGCGTTACAAACTCGAGTGGATCAATCACAGTTATAATGGTTTGGACATGTATGCAGAATGGGAGAACATCGGCCACCAATGCAGGCATAAGGAACCAGACCGCTAGGGCGACCCAGGGTCCGGTGGAAACACAACATCTGACTGTCAATGATAGACAGACAACTGGAATGAAATAAAGCTCTAATGAAAACTGCTGCAAGAGAAGTCTGACGATCTCTCTGGCAATCCTCTACACCCCAAGATAGAAGAGGAGCGACTAAGTAAGTAAATAAGTACTAAACCTACAACCATTTTAAAGTATTACGAGTTTTATTACTATTAAATGCTTCACAGTTAGTTGGTTTAGCCACCCCGTGACAATAAATCCAAGATGGCAGAAGCAAGCTCGAACATCATAAACATGGAACTGTCAAGAGGCAAAGGGAGACCTAGAAGGCAATGGACTGAGAGTCCCTGACATTCTGAGACTTCACGACAGCACCGCACACAAACATAGACCCTTTTCTATTAAATATGTAGTGATCGATCTAACTTTTATGGTCTTATCGGCACTAAGTGGTCAAAATCGCGCCTGTTGCCTTTGCTTCCCATGAATTTTCATGCTACCCATTTAGGTCTGTGCCGACCTAAGAGCCTAGGTCATTTTTTTAAATTAGAAAAATCTGACTCGATACGGATTAGAACCCACGACCCAGGAGGCCGAGAGTAGCGTCTAGCCGATACGTCACTGTGGCAATTTCGGATTGAGATGCTTATATTAAAGTACCTGCCTGTAGCTATAAAAACTATCTGAACTACCAAAAGTTTTTATTTTAAAGCAACAATATAATAGAATAGCGAATGAATATATGTGTTGCAAAAAGAAAAAGCACTTAAGCCCACAAAAATAAAGTGCTATTAGAAGAGATTAAATGCCTGCAAAGAATACACAATGTTGCAAGGAAAAAGTTTGGTCGGAGAGTATGACACATAGAAACAAAAGGACAGTGTCAGCAATGCATTTTATCAAAAGGCTGAGAATTAAAGGGCTCGATCGTTAAGGAAGACTACCCCTGGGCTGCATACTGCAGACAGCGCTGACATTTAGGTGCAGCGCAGATAGAAAAGCAAGAGTAAGGCCCCGCAAGCGATTGTTTAAGGAAATGACAAAGGCAATGTGCGCCATATTGTTTGCAACTAGCACAAAGATAGCTTTTTTAAACTGTAGATTTATACAAGGCAGAGAATAAGTAGACCTAATTGTTGCAGACATAACATCCATTGTTAAGACATATTGCTTCAGTTTCTGAGCAATTTAACTGTGTTAGATTGTTTAATGTTAGTCGCTGTGGTTGTCCACAGCATTCTGTCTCGGTACAGCTGATCATTTCTAGTAGAAGTATTCTATCACGCAATTATGTACAACTGTCAAAAATATTTTTTGGGCGGTCCCCTTTTTCCCTTTTCTCTCATCTACCTTGTTGTCACGATGTACATAAGGTTACCCGTTGTTAGGATGTCCCAAAGAATGTGGATTTACGTCTTTTAATGCAGTTCTTTCTGTGTTAATTTATTTCAATGTACTTGATAACACTTTTTGTGTCCATAGTGTTCTCATTAATCAGTGCTGTTCACGTTTTCAAGCCCAGGATTAGAGTAATTTCTGCTATCCTCCGAATAACGGTCCCAAATAATTGACGCTTAAAAAAAATACCCTAACAGTGCCTCAGTCAAATGTAAATGGGGGACCTCTTTCCGGCGACTATACCGTATACCGCAGAAAAGCTTCCACCGAGTTAAAGTTACCGACGAGAGTTTCCCAGCGCCGCTACGAGCGGTACTACTTAGTACTGCGATACTACTTACTTTCACACAGTCGCCTGCAGAGCCTGAAATAGACTCCAAACAACACATCCTTCCACAAATATCACATATGCTGAGCAAACGCCAAACCAAGCCATATCATAACACTCCCCTCCCCCTTCCCCCGCAACAACAACAAGAGGTCCAGCGACCTAAGGAGGCATGAATGGCAAGTAAAGTTACTCTAATCCTGTGCATGAAAATGTGAACAGGACTCATTAGTCTTCTATAAAACCATAGCATGGCAGATTTCCGTATAATCTGTTAACTATCCATTATTCACACAAGATTTCGCCCTATGTAGCTCTTAATAATTCGTGTTGCTATCCAAATAACAGCAACAACAAGCGTTTCGTCCTTTTTAGGACGAAATTTTTTGTTATTTGAAGCCTCACCCTGGCTTTTGTCAGGGGCCGCAATATAGGCAGGCCATAAATATGGCCAATTGTCTGAACGCGGTTTCTGGGACCTCTCCACGGCGATCCTCATCTACATGTTAGCACTTCGTGTCATCGGGTGTTTATCGCTTGTGTGATGTCCTAGTGGGGTAGAAAGTCAGTCAGTCAGTGTTGCCATCTTAATTTAACACAGAAGTATTGCATATGATATTCTTTACACTGTGAAATGCTGCGTTGCTCAGGCCATTGCACATTTAACTCAATCAATACATTTTCCGTCCGTTGTTTTCAAGTCACATAAGTAACTGGACACACTTGTCTGATTAAGATTATTCACATGCACTTTGAGGCTGCATTTCGATGGCCTTTCTTCTTATTACTTCTACATTTATTCTATGGTTTCTATGTTTAATTGTAGTAACATATAAAAATCGATATTAATTTGTCTCGTGAAACAAAAACTTCACATCGGTATCCTTATAATAGTGTATTCTGTGGTGTCTTTATATTTCCAAAGGATTATTATCTTCCAAAGCAGCAGATGTAAATAATAACACTAGATCGGGTCTTAGTTTCACAATTCTCTAACAAATTTGCTCAAGAGAAAGTAATTTTGTACAACTCATGTGTACAATTTTGTGAAGACTATTATGTGTGAAGGTTTAATTTTTTTTTTTTAATCCATTTAAGTGCTTAGATCTATAGCTTTAATATGAGAAAATATTTCATGCTAAAACTGTGGAATTTTGCGGCAGTTGGTTGCAAGCTTTAGAAGCAGCCAATGCTACAGTTTCAAATATTGATGCAATTTTCCTAAAACGTACCAAAAGTAGTTTTGCTCGGCAAAGGTTAAATACAAGGGTAAGTCAATAAGTAAGTCACAAATAATTGTTGAAAAAAAAAACCTTACAACGATAACAACTTGAAAACCGTTTATTTTTACACACACACTGTTCCTTTATGTTTCAACATAATTTCCACCAGCATTGATAACATAATTTACACCAACACTGATGCACGTGTAACATCGTTTTATCAGTCATCATAATTCTGGTGTAAAGAGCTGGGTGCTCGGTTTTCTAAACCACATGTTCACTTCAAATTCAACTTCTGCTTCATTCTTGAAGTCTCCTGCCAAGGCGAGTTCTATGGTTCCATTTTAGAGAACAAAGAATAAACCCACTGCCACCTCACTAGGAGGAGACAACTTAGGAGTGTTTCCTTCAAAGGCAGAGTGATTTGCCTGAGAAGCAAGTAACCAACAGTCTGCACATAAGCCAGACATAAAATAGATGTTCTCACAAAAATTGAAGTTATGAATCAACATCAAAGTCCAGGAGTGAAGGAAAAGCTAAAACTGTCAGAAGAGTTTACGGCCAGTGGACGCGTGTGGTCAGTTGCCTTTGTTTATTTTTCTCTATTGCAATATCAAGATACCTTATTGTGCCTGTAACAGAAATTGAAATCATTTTCGTGTGGATCCCTATCTTTGGAGAGAGAGAAAGGGGTTTCCAAGAAATGCTTGCCGAATTTATCAGTTAATCAAGATTCACAAGTTATTGATATTTTCATATCTTGAATCTACCTATGCGAGAAATCATCATTAACAGTCCTGATAACAACACATACAATCTCGTTTCTTTTACCTATTAAATGGACAACAGTTTCATTTACTTTCTGAGGCATTAAAGAAAATTTAGATTTGTATAATAATTGCCCAGGTTCATATCCATACGATAAATGGTATGCATATGTCTTGCAGTTGTCAACGTAAGTAGGATCTACATGTACAGGAAGTCATCGTAAACAGTCCTGAAAATCACACATAAAACTCTGTGTCTTTTCTTATCTTCATCGGGAAGTTGTTTTTATCCGGAGGTAGCAGGTGTTCTAAAGTGTCTCTAGAAGCAGGCGTGTCTGTAGACCCTGCACTAGATGTCCGCCGGCTGTTGGCTTGTCGGAAGATCGGCTTGAGCACGTTAGTCCTGCACTGAATGACAATATACACCACACAAATGGCGATGATAACACCACCAATGAAGACAATGACGGACATTTTGATCTGTAGAAGAATGTGTTCGTTGTGTCTCAGGAAGCGATGATATGCTTCGGCGTCTGCTAGAGGTTGAGGTGAGAGTGGTGTATACATCTGACAGTCATTCAACGATTATCAAATCTTGTTGTGGGTAATGGCCACGTTACAAGTTGTTTCATTCATTATAACTCTAAGTTTTCTTGTTAAGCCTGAAAGTTTATAATACATAAATAATTCCTAGTTTTTGAAGCTTGAAGCACATACTAAATCTAAACTTTGTTCTTGATAACCGCTTCACTTTTCTTGTTTATAGTGTCTGACTTTGTCAGCAAGGTGAAGGTGTTAAACCTGCGGATTTCAGTCAATACTACAATGTGTATTAGAGAAAAAAGTCACAAAAGTATATCAGAATAAAAAGTAAAGATGACTGTCGACATCATGTCCACTGCTCGCGAAGGTATGTGTCTGTAACGACTGTGCTACTGCGTGTCTGGCAGGGGTGGCTGGAGAAAGAGGATATAACCATTAGACCAGCAATTAGGAAACACTGAAGGTTATAACAAGAAACCAACCCTAGTCTACTAATACTGTCATGTAAATTAGATAACTTAAAGAAACAAAAAAGCATGTTGTTATAGTACGTTTACAAATTAGTGATGTTGTATTTTTCATAATTTCTCAGTAATTACTTATCCTGGGAACGTGATTTGTGTGTGTGTGTGTGTGTGTGTGTGTGTGTGTGTGTGTGTGTGTGTGTGTGTGCATGGGCTGCTACTTTCGTCTCGAGTATAATGTTTTATAAATATAAAAAATAGTTAGACTGCTCAGTTGTATCAAAACATAAATTTTCTTTGTTATTTTCCCTACTTGTGTAATTTAGTTAAGTAACAAATCAAATGTTACAGTACCGACATGAAATACGAGAATGACAAAAGTTAGAGGCGTTTCTGCAATTGTTTATAATGGGGACGTAAGTCCCTATCAATGTACATACTTGATCAGTATATATGTTGTGAGTGTAATTTAGTTAAGTAACAAATCAAATGTTACAGTACCGACATGAAATATGAGAATGACAAAAGTTAGAGGCGTTTCTGCAATTGTTTATAATGGGAGCATAAGTCCCTATCAATGTGCATACATGAATAGTATATATGTTGTGAGAGTTTAAAAAATATATTATTATTTTGTGTTTGGTGTTAATAATTCTTTATCGTCAAATATTTTTTATATTGCTTGTTTAATAAATTCTGTGTCAAAGCTATCAATTGTATTTTTCCTTTTCTCGCTCAACATTAGTGTGTGTAGAAAGAATTGACTCCTTTCTAGCCCATCTTGAATATGTTCGGACGGTAACATCTAAGATGACACAGAAATCCGCGTTAACCTTTAAATGAAAAATATTCATATACTGGCATCGTTATATTTTTTTTTTAAAGTATAAAACGAATTTAACTTTAAGCATCATTCTGATAGAGCATGAAAAAGCTGCGTAAGTAACGCATTAATACTTCTGACGAAACTTGGCAGCACACGCATCGCATGGCGCGTTAGGACACTTTCAGCGAAACAGTTGCGGCCTTTTTCAGAAAGTAAATGAAGCAGAAAAAAAAATAAAACGTGTTTTTGTGCATTTTCGATTGTTTACATTTGAACTTTGTGCAATCCAACATCTTTCGTCGTATATTTATGTACATTGAACAAGCAAAAATGCATTATAATTAATTGTTACACTAGGGTTGCGTGGGCGCGGAGAGGGGGGAGGGGTGGGGAGGGTGTTGGGGAGAGGGGTTCTAACATAATGTTGAGGGTGAAGTAAATGTTAAAAAATAATTTCACCCATTTATCAGAACTTATCACAAACTTGCCAGCACGGCGAGAGTTGCTTCCCCTCCCACTCATGCCGCGGCCAGGCGCATGGACTGTCCTATTTTGTGGGGGTGTTATGAGATGTCTTTGTTTGGCGTTCGCTGGCTGTATATGCTTGTGGGAGGTCGTGTTGTCCTTAGCCGCTTTGAGGCGCTGCAGGGGCTTGTGCACAAGCAAGAAGTTCTGTTGGAGAACCGCCAAAGGCGCGACTGTTCTCGAGTATCGAAACTGGAATGTTAATGTGTTTCTAGTTACTTGGCGGTGGTTTCCTGTCAGAAAAAGAAGCAACTGTCAAGGAGCATAACCTGGAAATAATCATGCAATTGAGCAGTGACAGCCTGAGAAAAGAAAGAACCATTAAGCCGTTGAAAAAAAAAGGAATACATGACACCCCCACAACATAGGACAGGCCGTGAGACAAGCCGTGGCATGAATGCGAGGGGAATGAAGTCTTGCAGTGTCGGCCAGTTGGTGATAAGTATTGAAGTATTGATTTATCTACTACAACTGAGAATTTTTTTTTTTTTTTTTAAACATGGGCACCAATTTTTAAACGCATTATAGCTAACAATTAAACTTTTACAGAAAGATTCTCGGAGAATAGTGAACTAACAAAGCACAATACTGATATTTTTCACTATCCGAAAATCGAATCACAAACATCATTGTCTCTAGTGAAAAAAAAAATAATTTATTCATGAATACTAAATGCCATAATTTTAGAAGGAAGAGTAATAGAGGGTGCTATTATTCATGGAAAACATAAGATCGAAAGGTTTGGTTATTTAGTAAGTTTTGCAGCCAAAACAACTACCAATGCAGACGCTAAACATAAAGAGATCTGCAGTGAAATCAAGAGGCCCCCCAGGAGAAAATGGACTGATGGCATTAGAGACATTGAAAAACAGTATCCATTGCTGCCCATCAAGCAATGGATCGCAAACTGTTCCTACCCCTCAACGCTTAATGGCAGATGTGGAAATTGATGATGATGATTCCTGAAAAAAGTGAAAGGGGCCGATGGTTAGTTGCGTATCCTTTAAGGACGTTGCAGAACCAACCCCATCAGCCCCTGGCTGTTGTGTGGTTTCACTAGGCAAATTTACGTCCAGTAGTTTGTCATTGCTTTCTGGACGGTCGGCTTCCTAATACCACTGTCGAAACCAACGCACTGCAGCTGGGATCGAACCCGGTACCCCGGAATTACGAAGCGTTCGCATCGACTTAGTCACAGAACCGACATTAAAATGATGACGAAGAACAATTAAACATGCTTGAATTACGCAGCGAAACAGTTGTAGTAACCAAATGTTAAAATCCCATTCAATTAATAAGCTAATGGCAAGGTGACACACAAAAATTAAGATTTTCCTGACACTAAATACTTTCTGGTTATAATTTGAAATATCTCTATTATTATATTTTTTTTTGTTTTCCATAGTTTTAATATATGTTTCGTTTATGTAGTTATGGTTACCGTGGAATTCATTCACCGTTACGTTTACGTAGTCAACTGCACTGAAAAGAGAAAACTCCTGTATACAAATTTCTTTTAAAACCTATTATTTGACTGACTAGGACATCATCTGAGGCTGCGGGATCTCGAAGTGGTGTCCCCTTCGAGTGCTGGAGGCTCAGGGTTCAATCCCCGTTAATGGACTTCTAGTAATTCCCCCTGGTCTCTGGATAATAAGATAGGACGCCTGTGTGCATTGTTGCGCACGTAAAATATCCCCGGCAGTTGGAAAACGAAAAAAAAAGTAGCCTAATGGCGCTGCCCAAGCATAATTTAGAGTTAAAAATCTACCCAAAGAATTTCAGGATCCTCGCTGGTGCTACAGAGCTTGGGCACTGTGTTGAACTTCTTTCGGACTCAGGCTTGAGTTAGAAGAGCTGAGCACTTATGGATTTAATACCCGTGTTGATCTGTTGTTTAAAACTCAAACTAGGACATCACTGGTTCACCAATGCATGAGACCGAATTTTTCTTCCATTTTTGTTTCTTGCAGTCATTTATTCCATCCCTCAATATTTGCTGTCAATTTTGTTTTTGTTTTTATAGCAATCTGTCAAGTATCTTTGGATTTCTAGTTTTCTCGGTCTCTGAAAATTATGGTTCGTATAATGTAGGACGTATTTCCAATTTAGCTGTATATAGGACATCTATTTATCTCTCCTCCACTCCTTCTGTCTATCGGTCTGTCTGTCTAACGGTCTGTCTGTATATCTATCTATCTATCTATCTATCTATCTATCTATCTATCTATCTATCTATCTATCTATCTATCTATCTATCTATCTATCTATCTATCTATCTATCTATCTATCTATCTATCTATCTATCTATCTATCTATCTATCTATCTATCTATCTATCTATCTATCTATCTATCTATCTATCTATCTATCTATCTATCTATCTATCTATCTATCTATCTATCTATCTATCTATCTATCTATCTATCTATCTATCTATCTATCTATCTATCTATCTGTCTATCTGTCTATCTGTCTGTCTGTCTGTCTGTCTGTCTGTCTGTCTGTCTGTCTGTCTGTCTGTCTGTCTGTCTGTCTGTCTGTCTGTCTGTCTGTCTGTCTGTCTGTCTGTCTGTCTGTCTGTCTGTCTGTCTGTCTGTCTGTCTGTCTGTCTGTCTGTCTGTCTGTCTGTCTGTCTGTCTGTCTGTCTGTCTGTCTGTCTGTCTGTCTGTCTGTCTGTCTGTCTGTCTGTCTGTCTGTCTGTCTGTCTGTCTGTCTGTCTGTCTGTCTGTCTGTCTGTCTGTCTGTCTGTCTGTCTGTCTGTCTGTCTGTCTATCTATCTATCTATCTATCTATCTATCTATCTATCTATCTATCTATCTATCTATCTATCTATCTATCTATCTATCTATCTATCTATCTATCCATCTATCTATCTATCTATCTATCTATCTATCTATCTATCTATCTATCTATCTATCTATCTATCTATCTATCTATCTATCTATCTATCTATCTATATCTCTATCCATCTCTCTCTCCATCTCTCTCTCCATCTCTCTCTCTATTTCTCTCTCCATCTCTCTCTCCATCTCTCTCTCCATCTCTCTCGCTATCTCTCTATCTCTCTATCTCTCTATCTATCTATCTATCTATCTATCTATCTATCTATCTATCTCTCTATCTATCTATCTATCTATCTATCTATCTATCTATCTATCTATCTATCTATCTATCTATCTATCTATCTATCTATCTATCTATCTATCT